GATTTCCGAGACTACCAGTATATCATATGTATGAAATGTATTATCCGTGACTGGTAGTTGAATTTTCCCACAATGATATAAATATACCTTACGTTTCCAATGAATTCTATATATCCTTGATTTCCCAAAAGGTATTCTCTTCCAGGAAGGTGTTGACTGAAGCTTTGACCTCGCCTAGGTCACATCAGCACCCTCAACGGGACTGGAACATATGACAGTGCAGCGTAAACAAAATAGGGTGAATAGATCTCATATATATTATCTACTAGTAGTCTCGAAAACTTATCTGTAAGCGAAACATAAGTAATTTAGTCGATTGGTATAGCAAATACAAATTTACCTAATCGGCAACCCCATTACAGAATATGATATTAGAAAATGTTTGGCCTTTCTTGAAATTCGAATTTGCCCTGTGACCCAAGGACACTCGTGGCATTGCGGCGTAATGTTTAACGTGCCGAGATTATATGCTGCTTTGTCATAGTTCGAGTCCCCTCTAGGGTGCTGATGAGACTAAGGCGGGGTCGAAACTGAAGTCCAGTCCTGCCTGGAAGAGAATGTCTTTTCGGAAAGCAAGGCTATATGACATTTTGTGGAAACATAAGGTCTATCCATATCAATGTGGGAAAATTGAACTACCAGCCCCCTTATCACCTGAAATAAAATAGGGTGAGTACATCTCACATATTTGAAAAAAATACATGTTTATCTCATCGAAGGGCTAAGTATAAAATGCGATAGGGGAGAGGCCCAGCTTGGCCTGCAAGTCACATTTGCTCCGTGACCCATCAGCATTACTGACTGCCATGCGGATGATTAAAGTTTCGTCATCGTATGCCCACCACTCGGTTATGAATCCCACTATGGATGCTGACGAGACCTGGGCGAAGTAGAAATTGCCGTCCATCCTGGGTGGACAAACCTTCCGAGAGGCAGGGCTAAATTAATTTCAGTGGCAGCTTGAGGTCTATTCACTTCATTGTGGAATAAGTGACATCGAGGCCTATTCACTTCGAGTTCTCGCTAAAGTGATTGTAAAGCTGCCTCAATGGAACACTCTAAGAGCGATGCTGCCTACTTAACGAACGCGCTAAGCCATGATGAGCATGACGAGGAAAGAGGAGCTCACTGCACTCCCACATGTACCTGATACCACAGACCAACTGCCAATCCACATTCGCAAGGCAATTGAGTGAAAGCCAGCTGTGATGGCTGTTGTGCGTATGCCAGGCCTTTTGCTGCCACGTCAGATGCGACCAAATCGCTAAGATCCTAAACCGTGTATATCATCAAGTTAGGTAGGGCGACACAAGGAGATTTCAGCGTGTTCGAGCCATTAAGCCTTGTTAGAAAGCTTATATAAGTGATCATCATATCGAAAAAGCATAAGGAACTGCAAATTCTAATCATCAAAAGATTAAAAATAAAGCAGAATTCTTATACTCCTCCGACCAATTATGTCTGAAATCCACCTGCTGACGTCCTCTTACCCATCTATACCACTTAATCCCTTGCTGAGGGCCTAAGATTTCCTTTTTTCTTATCCGTTAGCGTTTTTATATTCCTATTCAAGTTTATTTTTTGAGAAGCTTTTCTATGCAACCCACCTTATATATAAGGGGAAGCCAAAATAAAAGAACCATATTTTGCACTCTGTCAAGGAGATAAAATTTGTCCCACGCACATAAACCCATATCACCCAATCGAGAAAATCCAACTTTTTAGTCATTGTTAATTTACAGGGAGCTTTTACTCATTGAAATGATCTCTCGCTATGCAGTGTCGGTACCATGACATCTGTTCGACATTTGCCCAACCTGCTTTCTGATGGCAGAATAGGCGTTTGCGGCTATCACAATATTTGCATTCATCAGTCCTGACCTTTGCCGACCTGAGGCCGGGCCCCTTGCATTGTGGTAAAAATGATCAGCTGCGAGCAAAGAGGTATCCAGCCAAACGTCAATCTTGACTGCTTAGGCTATCTAGGGATGGTGGAACTCGCAAATGATTGTCTCGGGCGGAAAGCAGATCACGACGACATGAAGAGAGAGGTGCACCTCGGATGGCTGTGCTGAAAGGGTTGTTGGGGCCGTTGCTACGGCTATTACTGGAAGATCGTTCCATTCGAGGTGTACTAGAGCTCGTTCACATAGTTGCGGTTGGTCGGACCAGAAAATTGAAGGCAGGTGTACAGTTTTTGGCAAATTGCCTTCATCAGGGCTAGTTCACTCTACGGAGGTTCCAGTAGGTGCAGAATCAATTAGGGAATAAAATGAACAAATTGCCTGATGAATACTGCAATGAGAAATTCGCAAGATTATAAATAAATTATAAAATAATGAATATATTGAGCCTTCTGTATGGTTATGAGGTCTATAGTGATCATCATAAAATTCTGGTCTAGAATCTCTTAGAACAGTGATTCCCAAACCGTGCGCCGCGGCGCCCCGGGAAGGCGCGGCCTCTTTACAGGGGCACCGCAAAATATTGTAAAAGTTTCAATTTGAGAAAATATGCAGTGATTTGTAGGCTCAACCATCACATTAATTATTAAATATTAATTTAATGTTAATAAAGTAAAAAAAATAATGAAGATACAAGAGTTTTATTTATTGTAATCTTTTACGAATAGTTATACTTAGGGTAGGATGCGATGGAAAAATTTTAATTGAAAAAGGGCGCCTCGACTAGGAAAAGTTTGGGAACCACTGTCTTGGAAGATTAATCTAAACCCAATTACTTTTCGCATGTACAGAGTCCCTCCATTGCATAGACAGAGTAGCTTGGCTATAAGCCGTAAAACTCTCCAGATTTGAGCTGGTTCAACCTCATTTTAGCATCTTGCCGGTGGAGACAAATAGACCTTGAAGAACACGCAGTCATGGAGAATTTTAGCTCGATGCTAAGGACGACAAAGCTAAGTAACTATACCTGCGAAAAGTTTAGGAATGTACCAGGCAATCTGTCCGACGCTGGAATTGATCGGTACTAGTATGCCAAAGGAAATAGGACTGGGGACGTCCCTCAAGGCCTAGTTATCACCCTGACCAAGCTGCGAAAACCGAGTCAACCGATTCTGCACACAGCGAAAAGAGAATTCGACCAAAGCAAAAGTGTCAACCTTTTGTGATTCATATCACCTCAGATTTATCATACTCTTAGCATTTTGTCGGTTAAACCTGCTATATATCCTTACAAATTGCCCTTCTTGTAACAGCAATTCCTGAAATCTGCGGCTGCTTACCTTTTATCATCCTATTCTGTGTAGGCGATGGGAGCTAGTGGGCTGACAGTAGTTTTTATAAGAGACGTGGTCCATGTGGAAAAGGCGTGACCATGACACTTACTCAGAGGCTTGAGCCTCGAATTAGTCACCCAGACGCAGAATAGGATAATTAACGCCTCGAGGGCACAGATGGGGTGGCAGGGGTCGAGTGAAATATGTGAACCAGGGAGAGGGCAGACGGATCTTACGGGGCAGGAGAGAGACTGTGGTGAAACTTATGGAAGGAGGATTGCGTAACAATATGCCAGACTCTGATCCACATTCCCGGCACAAGGATGAAGGGCTGTGAGAAGACCAGCGTGGAGTGACAGTGAAGGCGTGATAGGAGGATATAGGAAATGTGAATAGACCAGGGCAGAAGAGAGATACCACAATTGTTTAGCACACGTTTGGTCAAAGGATCGGCTTCACTTGTCTCTTTGACGAGTCGTATCGTGCTAAGAATAGCGATACTCACTGACGATGCCGACTAAGATGCCGGCGAAACGTCTGGGAATGTACCACGTCTACGGTCCGACTTTGGAAATGATTATGCACACAATGGACTCTGGACAAGGTGCGTTCCTCTAAGTCTTCCTACCAATATGGCCAGGCTGCGAACAACCTCTATAATTTGTTGTCTTGGTTCTAATCACGGTAACCTTTATGCACTTTTAGCTCGCTCTTCCTCTTTCGCATGAAGAAAAAAGCAAATCAGCATAGCTAGTCGTGTGTCCGAATTTGCGCAATCAGAGTGATGGTTAAAATATATTGTTGAACGAAAGCGGCACATTGCTCTAGAATCCAGCTAAGTTGTATCACAATTATGTGTTTATTCCAAGGTTGGCCTCATCAATGCCCCAACGGTATTCGCAAACAAATGATTTGCGTCAAGCGGCAACATTCCTCCTCCCCCCATGGGTCACGAAGCAGATTCGACTTTCAAAGAAGGTTAGGCACTAAATTGTGAATCGGGAGAAGTCCAGCTTGCCTTAAAAGTCACATCTTTTCTATTAAACACTAGGAGCCGTGGCTGTATGGCGAAGTGATAAGATTGTCGTTCGACTCGCATCTCCCAATTTCGAATCCCGACGAACGTGATGATGATGGAGCATGCAGTCTAGCTCATATGAGAAAGTTTTTTGGCGACAAGACTAGGGGAAATTTAATGGCATCGTAAGGCCTTTTGTTTCCACAGGTTAAGAAAAGTCCACCTTAAGCGACCAAAGTGGCTCATGCTATCACTTGAGCTCGACTCACCAAGTAATCCTCAGGAGTAAATGTCATCTCCCCATCAGTCTCGTTGTTTAGGGTCAATTTTTCTTCCCCATTGAGCCTAAATGCATAAGACGAAGGAGAAAATAGAAAGTTATTATTCGTTTATAAGTAGGGTTTCATTTCCCATATAGAAAATTATTTTATTTTTTATCAGTAGGATAGTAATGGCAATGGAGAAGTAGTCGGAGCGCCATATTGAGTTGCATATTTTAAAGAATTTTTCCGATGCTTACACCTGAATTCTGGATAAAATTAGCTATGATAACCATTAAACGCAGAACCAAGACAGCATGTC